CCAAACTGTCTTGGTCTTTAAACCTTCGCTTAATAAGCATAGTTACAAGTATATCTAAGAGGTAAGATATTGCCGCGTTGTCTTTTTGACTCAATGTTAACTCGAGACTTTTGCAAGTTTGAATTCCATCTCTTAGCTCAACGTCCTCTCTCCTTCAATCTTTTAATCAAGCATTAGTTGTTCTTACTTCAACGTATTCCCTAATCTATTAATTTAAATAGTGTGTCTTATCTTCTTTTTCATAGCAGACGTACCATTATCAGCAAAGCTACACGTTTTAGAGCCTCCTATCTCATGTCCAATCCCCTTGATTTAGTGTTAACTTGAGACTTTTGAGAAAGTGGGTCCCAGCTTTGATTATGTCCATCATATGACGGATGAAATCTCAGCCTGGTGAAGAATCTGATAGTTGTTAATCTTTTCATGTCTAGGAATTTGTTTATATCTTAAGGTCATGTATAAGTCAAAATTTTTATCTTCATAAATGATATAATCAAGCCGAACCTACAATCTTCCGATTTTAAATTGAACGGCTAGCATTATTTATAAGGTGTAATACTCTATTTCGTTTAAGGTGATAAGCAGATTAGAAGCTGAATTTTCCAACAGTGATATGAGTAGGCCTTACGCTTCCAGTAAATTTCACATAGTCTTGCTTTCCCGTCCAGAGTGGACTTCAATTTCTACCTCGTTTAGGTCTTATCAACGCCCCCAGCGGGACTCGAAACATGACAGTGTAGTGTGTAATGTTAACATGTTAAATATTACGCCACATTGATGCAAGTGTCCTTATATCACAGGGCAGATATGAATTTCAAGGAAGACCAGGCGTTTTCACATATTGCATTCTCTGGTGGGATTCCCGATGAAGCAAATTTGTATTTGTTATAGCAGTCGACTACATTACCTATAAATAAAAATTAGCTAGCATTGTTTGTTTGGAGCTTCAAAAGCTAATATTTGGTCGGGTTGCATTGAAATTAAAATAAGGCGTACTAGTTCTGTGAAATTCATTTATTCACTCATATTCAGGCTAACTAGTAAAAAAACTCACCGAATTACCGTATTTATTGTTAAAATATAATGGGAAATGGTTAATAGTTAAAATAAATTTTAGCCATCACTGCAGGTTTCATACATTTACCAATACATGAAGGCACATAAACACAGTCATCTTTTTAGATTTAGATATTACTTAAATTAAGCAAATCACTATCTAGATACAACATTTATGGATAAGCCAGTGGATTTCTTGACTCGTTATCTTGAATATAGTCTCAAGAGTGATACTCGACTCTGGTGATTTCCGGTATACGACGGACGAAAGCTTAGTACATTATCACCGGAATCGAAGATTGCCTCGCAAACAGCATAACCAGGAATGTTGTAGTAAAGCAAATTGACAGCTGACCATGAGGAATCGGCCGTCGTCTTCTGGTGGGATCGACCTTCGAATCTCTTCACCAAACACTTTCACTTGCGATGGATGTGAACTCATCAAAAAGTAGGTGTGTTGTAGACGCTAGATCAGTGTTAGATTGGTCCTCTCACGATGTTTGTCTGGCACTGATAGGTTATCACAGCAAGAGTGCGTATGCCTTTTAAATATCTTCCTCTCATAGTTCTTTCCTACTTTAAAGCTAGTATCTATCTAGTAAAGACCAAGTTTAGAATCCTGTTGAGAGTGATAACAAACGTAATCCCTGAAGCTGCAGTACGCCTGTCAAAATTGATAGATCTTTGATCGTCAAGTTTATAAATATTTACTTGTTTCCGATGTTAAAAGCCTAGTTGTTCACTTCTGATGAAGATTATATTATGAATCTTCATATGATAATGCCTCCTAACGATGAGTCACGAGGTAAAGTCTGGCTATACTGACACACATTTTTGTTGGGATATCTTGGTCCCTATGCCTGGCTCTCATGAGAGACAAAGATCAGGCACACTAAATAGGAACATATTGGATAAGAATTTACAGGAATTCCTCAATCAGGGTTAACAAGTCTCAATGGACATACTAAGAACTATCCATAAACATTGGGCGTTTTGTGCCACTACTAGGGGAAAATGAAGTTGGAATTTGGGCCAAATGTTTTTATAAGGAATAATGTAATAGAGTAAAAAAGAGCTTTAAAAGAGTGAAATCCTTTCCTGTTCCGGATGATATTTTTGTGCACCGATTCGCCAACAGCAACTGATCCAGTATACTTGCTGGGGTGCACTGGAGCTTCGGCCATCCACCAGACTCGTCACGTTTCGGATCACGACCCTCCGTTACTCTAGCAGTGTCCCGCCCTGTCAATTGGCTCTTAAAGTCTTCTGCCACGGCTGAGACAGATCCAAGGTCGGAGGCTCCAGAAACACCAAGCAAAGCATCAAGCAAGGCTACTCGAGAAACTGGATCTGGCCGGCGAAATTCGAACTCAGGAAACACTGCTACACAGAGCGGACTGCCAAGGCCATAGGGAAGCCGCTGGCCTGGCTGGGTACGTGGACAGACCAGGAGACTAGCAATCGCCTGATGAAGAGATATTATTACTGACTTCATAAAAGTGTTATTAATTCTCTTGTGAATTAAGTAAATACTACTATCACAGTTACACTAATAATTGCTTCTAGCTCAATAGTTCTTTTGCGACGCACTTATTAGATGTACATAAGGCGTACATAAAAATTACAGAGTGCTTTGATAAACTATTTTTATCACACTGGATTATCAGTGGTTACAATGACGACCATTTGAAGTAAACTTAAATCTAATCTTATGAGTGTAATTAAAATTAAGTTGGTCGGATCCCGTTTTCGCAACTCTGTGATGTTTACAGGATGACATTTTAGTATGTCATATTAGAATTTTTTGTGTGGATAGCTGCTCTTGGAACTAAAGATCAAATAAAATATTCAGCCTACAAGGTTTGATTAAAGATGGAAGTATGCTAATTTAAAATATGCTTCTCATAGTAAACTCTTATGAATAATAGGGCCTGGATAATCAAAAGTCGCAGTAAGGTGAGAAAGTTCACTGGACCATTTGAGATTTAGCATAGGTCAAGTATTCCGTTAATGTCATCCTATATTAGCGGAATTGGCTAGCCGAATGCAGGCTCGGAGCTTTTAGATTGTCTCACAATGGGAGGATTTATAGCCCTTATTAACTTAAGAAACCTGGGATGACTAAAGTTATAATTCAAGATTTCATGGTAGTCTCGAACGATACTCACATAAACTATATAGCTTATTTTACTCATAAATCAAGAAGATATTCTCCGGGCGGAATGGCCGCATCATTTTTACAGAGCTGACAACAGATTCAACACAACTCGGTCTAACATCGTTCTCGTAAATTTATCACATGGACAGGAAGACTTGCAATAACACACTTCGGGCTGCCTTTATTGCCTTAGTTATCAGGTGTTCTTTCACAACCAGCTCGGATCAGGCAGAGACAAAAACGTTTCGCTGGTAGTAAAGACTGAAAATAAGAAGATAGTTTCGAAACAGGAAAACAAATTTGCCCAGGTGACAAATTAATTCCAAAGCAGCGACTGCATCTCCACGTATGATCATTACATCTCTCGCCTCTCGTTCCATTCGTCGAAATCTCTCGGTAAATACGAAAAGTTGTGAAAGGGAGGTCGACCAGGTTATATAGAAGTTAAGAAGACTACGAAAATTAGAAAGGAATAACTATTTCTGTCCTTATATATAAGATAAACTTGATCGCCACGGGTATTTCTTAGATTAGACAACGTCAATTAGGGTAGCTTGACTGGGTTCAGATTGGACCAGCAACAATTATACCCAAGATAAATTGACAAAAAACCTTATTTATTTTTCTCTTTTTAAAATTTAGGTAACACGTGGTTTATGAGGTAAGATGCTTGCTTCCTTATCAGCGCATTCACGGCTCTAATCCCCCTTAGAGTGCTGATGAGGTGATGGGGCGAAGTTGAAACTATAGTCTTGCTTGAATGGGATAAAATGAACAGCGAGGTTTTAATTCAACACTCAGATCCTCGCGATTAACCTAGCTGCCGAAGGAATTCAAAACTGTCACAATTCGAAACAAACAGTCCCTAATTGCTGCAAACAAAGAGTAACTTGAATGCGGCCAACTAAAGGAGCTTCTGGATAAAATTAAGTAACTACAGCTAT